AAGTGGGCTGTAGTCCACGAAAGCTTATGCTCTAATAAATTTGTTAGTCTCTAAGGTGCCACAAGTACTCCTGTTCTTTTTGTAGAATCTCAGAGTTACTAAGACCTAGGGAATGGAGGTGATTCATAACTCTGAATAAAACTTTATGATTATTCTTTCATAAGTTTACAACTGAACATTGACTTAATATAGCTATGAAACTTTACTATGAAGAAGAAAAATGCTGCTTTCCCTTTATTTTTTAGTAGTGTACGTTTAACACAGTACTGTACTGAATTTGCTTTCTTTTTTGGTTTCTACTGCTGCCTGACTACATCTTCTGGTTCCAAATGAGGTGTGTGGTTGACTGGTCATTTCATAACTCTAGTGTTGCGTAACTTTGAGGTTCTACTGTACTTATATGCTTCCATGCCTCCCAAGTGCTTACAGTAACGCCAAGACTCATTTGTGTAAACTACCACCATGTTAATCCTTCCTCAAAGCTCACTCCTGCATCTCAGCAAGTTAACACACACACAAAATACCCCATTATGGAAGGAATTCAACATGTTCACATGTCAGAATTAAGTCACTGCATGATCTTTATCTTGGTCCTTCCTCACCCCTTTCACCCTGTCATTCTTATTTTATTAGATTGGGGCATTTTTAAGAGAGTGAACTTGTCTTTTCACATATTTCTAGGAGGCACACAGCACATGTTGGGGTGCTATAAACATAAATAATCAGATGTCTTGCAAGGTCATCCCAGGATAAACAAGGATCTTCCTGCACAAGTCGCTCCAGTAAAACCCACTTGTATACTATATCCAACCCACAACCTTCTATGACAAGGACTGAGTGAAAGTGACACCCAAGTTCTTAAACCACCTCACTGCCTGGAAGCAAGTCTCCTCAACAAGCAAGGGGCATAAATGAGGAAACGTCAAATACTCTATCTTATATTTGGAAGTAATTTCACCAATGGGCCTCTATTACATGGAGCAATAGGGGAGCTCAGATCAGCCCTCAAAAGATGGTATATGTCAAATCCCTAAGGGATGACAGCATGTCATCACCACTAATTGACTCCCATCTTACACTACAACATCAAAAGAGAGGGATTCAGACCTTGAAGATGGAGCGAACATCTGCATGTTTAAGAATGGTTGGCACCCTCTCCTCCACATGAGGTTAAGTAGCCAATAGGAACAAGTCAGCATCGTATGTAGATTACGGTTGTAATAAAACTATTTCAACTCAACTAGAGAGACATGCTTATCCCCCCC